GCTGCTCTTTCCATTAATATTGATATTGATGTTTAATGAAAACGATAATTCATAGGTATGTTGGTGAATCGGAATCGAACATTCGAAAACTGTTTGCTGATGCCGAAGAAGAATGGAAAAGATGTGGCGCTAGTTCAGGATTGCACATAATTATATTTGATGAAATCGATGCTATTTGCAAGCAGCGTGGTTCCGTGGTATGTGGTACCTTTTTTTTATTGTTTAAAATCTTCCTATTCAATACTAGATTTCATTCTCTCTTGAAATTCACTTAGAAAAAATTTCTTAAATTACATTGTTTATTATTTCTGATTGATCCACATACTTAATGCAATTTTATTGTTTAGATATATCGCCGTTATAATTTGATGCTTCCCTTTCTTTTCGATGAAAACATATGTATCAGTTATTTCAACTATTTAATTCAGGCTCTCCATTAGCCATATATGGGAGTTTGTTGTTTCCATATTCTCAGAAATTCAGCTTTGATGAATTTTCATTACATAGGCCGGTTCTACAGCAGTTCATGATACGGTGGTTAATCAGCTGTTAGCCAAAATGGATGGTGTTGATCAGCTCAATAACATTCTTGTAATTGGTATGACAAACAGGAAAGATATGATCGATGAAGCATTATTACGACCAGGTCGAATGGAGGTACAAATGGAAATTTCGTTACCTGATGAAGCTGGTCGTTTACAAATTTTGAAAATTCACACTGCTAGGATGAGGTATGTTAAGAAATTTATATCGCTGAATATGTATGAATAGTTTAGATTTGCTAATTTAGAAGACTTTTGCTACATTTTAAAAAATTTTGCCTGAGAAGTTCACAGATGTTTTTGGCGATTTATTAACCTAATTTTAAAATATTGGTAGGTTGCACTAAACTAATACTATATGTTTGGGAGAGAACATGTAGAAAATTTCTTAATGTAGCGAAAGATATATCATGCAGAAAGCGTAATAAATAAAGATGGTTTATTAAGTCTGGTCAAAAATTAGAATGATATATGTTTGTTTAAATCCAGTACACATATATAGCTTGTGACATTCTAGAGAATACGATAAATTGGATCCCAATGTTGATCTGATTGAACTTGCTAAGAAGACCAAAAATTTCTCAGGAGCTGAATTGGAAGGTCTGGTACGAGCAGCTCAGTCAAGTGCAATGAATCGATTAGTAAAAGTAACAGGCATTTTAAATTTAAAAAAAAAAATGAATTTTTAAATTCATTGCTTCTTTGCAATTCGTCAATTTATTGCATTTAGGGAAAATTGAGAATTTTAGCATTTATTAATTACCGGAGTTACTTTGTGATTATTAGATTTAATTAGGTATTTTGATCTGTAATCATGGTGCATGTTCCTAATAGCACTCAATTACTTTCAGTGCTGACTTTGTTACTGAACTCAAAAAGTTTAGGCGGGTGGCAAAGTGCAGCTAGACTCTGATGCTGTGGAGAAACTGATGATTAATGTTGATGATTTCAATTATGCTCTTGAGAATGATGTCAAACCGGTTTGTTATCAATTACTAATCAGTTAACCATGCAGGACTTTTCTGAATTTAAGTTTGAAACCAAACTAAAAGTTGAGACATGTGTATAACGTGTGATGTCTCTTTTTCATTGTTTTAGGCTTTTGGTCACTCTAATGAAGAACTGGAAAAATATCTTATTGGTGGATTTATTTCATGGAGTACACAAGTTACTCAAATACTTGAGCAAGGAGCTTTATTGGTAAAGCAAGTAAGAAGTCCCGATACGAAGGGATTTACTTCTGTTTTACTAGCAGGTTAGTAGAAGTTGTATGAAATAAGTGCATCTGTTGAAAAGAAGAAATCATTAAAATTGGACTAGAATTATGTTAAGTGTTGAGAAAATATGAAAACGTGCAAATTTTTTAAGAAATCTAATAATATGCAATTTGACAGCATTCATATTAAAATATGCCAAAAGTGCTAGGGACAACTACTTAGTAATATTAATCATTCACTTTATAGTAAGCTGTAGTAAATTGAACATTTTTGTTATAGCTGACATTTAATAGCGTCTTCTGATTTCATTTTAAGTTAGAACATGTCTCAAAAATGTTTAACTATTTTATCATCATTATATTAGTTTTTGTATTTAAGTAATTGCCAACAATAAACTACTGAAGCAATTAAATATCTTTTTTCACATTTCTTTTTAGTTTAATTCAATTCTTGTAATTTGAGGATCACCAAATAGTGGAAAAACATGTTTTGCGGCGATGATTGCGAAAGCTTCCGATTATCCATTCATAAAAGTGATTAGTGCTGAAGATATGGTTGGCTATACCGAAACAGCGAAATGTGCTGCTCTGCGGAAAGTGTTCGATGATGCGTATCGGTCTCCACTAAGTTGTGTTATTGTTGATGGTGTTGAACGATTGTTAGGTTTGTTTGTTTCGAATATTTCAAATAAATTTTGTTTCAAATTCATTGTTATTAATGTTTATATATTCTATTCCATTTTCACTCTGTGCTTCTGTACATGTTAGCGTCATGAGATTAATTTTAGATTTTTCACCAATTGGTCCACGGTATTCAAATTTGGTCTTGCAAGCATTATTCCTTTTAGTGAAGAAACTGCCACCTCAAGTATGTTTTGTACTTCCGTAGCATACGTTGTATTTCGTGCTGAAAATTAGAAATTTAGATCCTAAGATTTATTTTTTCTAAATTTCTGAAATTTAGAAATTTTTAATGGTGAGTTGCATTATATTAACTATGTTTTTCGATGTGCTTTTATTATGATTTAGCGTCGCTTGCTTCAGAATCGTCGCTTGCTTGTTGTTGCTACGTCAAGTAATCGTTCATTCTTACGTGAACTCGGTTTGTTGTCAGCATTCGGTACAATAATAGACGTACCCGCGCTTACAACAGTTCAGCATATCATGGCTGTTATTGAGGATACAAATGCACTTTCACGCCAAGAATGTGAAGAGATTCGTAACGAACTTTCTCGTACTAATAAAGAGTAAGTTACTTCGTTCTTTTTCTCTCTTTTTTTTAAAGATCAACTGTATGTTATTATTTGATAATTTATTTTTTCTAGAAACTGTAGAATTGGGAAGCACTAATTTAGTTATTTGTAAATATCAATATAGTTTTTCTTTCATATCTCAAGAATCATTTCATATTTCATCGTGTGTTTCTTTTTACATGGCGTTTTATCCTGTGGAAATTTTTTCGTTTACTTTTTTAAAATTTGCTTGTTTTTCAAGGCACATTGCACTCAGCTGTGTAAAGAGAGAAAAGAATTTGCTTAGTTATATTCTCAACTTCTACAAAATTCCGAACTGGATTACACTGGAATTAAAAAAGAAAAAAAAAACTTGGTTTATGATTTATCATAATTTGCAGATACTTTATTGGAATCAAGAAATTACTAAATGTGATCGATATGGCGCGGGAATGCGAACCGGTAGATAGAGTTTCGGTGGTTGTGCAGAGTTTAATGTCTGAAACTTTCAGTAATTCGTAATTAATTATTGAATGAAAACCTTTTGATATGTTATCATATTTGCAAATCTCATTTATCTTATTCAATACAGAAATATCTTCTTTAGATTCTTTTTCACTGCTATTTTTGGTAAATTCTTATAGTCTTTGAATAATGAATGAGTGAGTGTTTGATTTGAGATAGAAACATTCACCTGTGAAGTTCATATTGATCTTTTAGATAAGTTTGTTTTTGTTGTAATATTTATGTTAATCAAAGATTAACATAAATATCTGATATCTTATTCAGAATAGTTTTTAGAGAAATCTTTAAAGAATTTGTGAATTGGGAGCTGACTATTCTCAGAATACTCCAGCATCATTGGGCTGCATTTGTATCATCTACATAGAAAAATTCTGAAACATGTGCTGGGTGGGAAAAAGATTGATTTTCTGAAAGATGTAAATTGAAGTTTTCCAAGTTTTTAATTTTTATTTCGACCAGATTAAAAGCAATGCTTAGAAGTTTTCTGAAATATCACAGAAAATACCTTTTCTATGTGCACCCAAAAATATATTACTTTAAATTTCAAATCTTTTCAGACAAAGATATTACTTTGAAATTTCAGACCTTAGATTTGGCGCGCAAGCTTTGATTGTAGAAAGAGGCAATTTCATATTATTTGCCTTAAATTATTTAAGAAGTTGAAAAATGTCCCAAAAATCCCTGTTATAGGAATAAATCTTTTTAGACTGCTTATAGTTTTTGATATCTGTACAATATTACGAATTCATATAAAAAATCAGGATAGAATCTGAATCAAAAATCGCTGGAAATTTTCCTTTGTTATTAGATGAATGAATGAATTAATCGTTTTATGAATGAAATGAATTAATCGTAGCTTTGAGTATTTGGATATTCGTATTTCACATGATTTCCTGATCGAATGCAAACAGTTTCATTATGGTTTGAAATTTCATTGTTCAAAAATTATGAATGTTAAGGAGTGTGTCGAATTTCAATAGCCATACATAATTATTGTTCATGAAATAAGGCAACTCTGAGATTAAACAACTCAGACTATCTTGTAGATATGAATGACATAGTTGGTTCTTCATATGCAAATTTTTAGCAGTACTATCTGAATAGTCAAATAATGCTTATTGATCTCGATAGATGCCTACATTTAGTTTAATCATAATATCGCGGCAGCTGATGGTTAATTTCTTACATTCCATCAATTTTCATAATTGTGGTATCCAATTGTATTGTGTTCTATTTTTCCTTTTAATAAGCTTTATAGTATATTACGCGCACGTATTCATACATTTATATGTAGTAATTTTACGTAACCTAATTTAATCGTTTCACGTACTACATCTGTAAAGGAAAGCAATAAATATCATCTTTAATTGATCGTTATATTTCCATGTTGCACACAAAATGTTGACAGATGAAAATGACATGTAATGAAGATATTAGCGCGGAAGAATTCCCATATAGTTGTTGTTTTAGGAATTTATCGTTATTATGGAAATATCGAGATTAAAATTGAGCAAAACCACCAGGAAATCATTTACCATCAAAATAAAAGAAGAAGAAATTATACTGATGATTTATTTAAATGGTACTAAAAAGTAAGCAGTAAGTAAGAAATGGAAAGCTTATATTTCTAATTTACACTAAAGGCTATACCATTATCGATGTAAAGAAATGCCTCGTTGCTAGTTGCTATAGCTATTTAGTTAGCTATAAATAGATGCATTAAGAGTGATCGAGGACAACAATCAGGAAGAAAGACCGGAAATGAGAGGTGGAATAGCACCGGATTTGATTAAAAAGAAATCGAAAGAGGTAGCTGTCTCATACTGTCATCCGATAGTTTTTCAATTCTTTTTTTTTTTTTCTTGCTCTCCCTCATTCAGAAATGATTTTGATAGGAGGAACGAGGCGCAAAGAAGAGAAAAGCTATCCACCATACTTTGTTTAGTCGAGATTAGATGAAATGAGTCGGTGCCACTACCGCTCGCTCCTTCTATTGGTTTAAAATTCCCTTGCACGGATCTATTGCCTTTATCACATTGAAATGTTTTTTTTTTTTTCCTTTTTTTTTATTAGGTTTTTTTAGCGATTTGTTCGGCGCCGTTGTCAATTTTCCTTCATTTTATTCCTTTCACATCCAACATAATACTACCATATTGCTTGTCTCCTTCCTATGCTTTATTGGTGCAATTTGCAATAAATTTAACAAAAAAATCAATTTAATCAAATTTTCCATTCAAATTTTATTATTTTACAGAAAAATTTTGCTTCTCAAAAAGAGAAAGAACTAAAAAAGATAGAATATGTTAGGATTACAGTTTAGGCACCACAATAAGTAATTGTTTTTAAACGTCGATATTTTCATTTCTTAAATAAAAATTTCAGTTCTATCACTTCGACAGACTTAAATAAGAATGACTTTAGATCAAATAGTTCAATATATCAAAAATTCAATAGTATCTGAACAACAATCACCTGTGCTACAATTATTACAATTTGTTCAATGGATTCAGAATATGGCAATCGCTATGAAAATAACAATGATAACAATAGTGAACGTAACTTTTCTCGATTTTTTTGTTTTGTTTTGTTTTTTGACATTAAAATAAACTATGAATGTTTTAGATTCTGGTAAAACTGTTTTGCTTACAACAACACGACATCGTTATAAACTTCAAGATGATGGATACTTTTATGTTTTTGATAAGATGAGTAGAAATGGTCAGAAGAAGTTTTGGCGATGCGAGAAAAAGGGTACCTGCAATGCGAGAATACATACTGATGCTGCAACAAATGAGGTAAAGTTAAGAAAATTTTTAAAAAATTTTGAAATGTTTTGATCATTTTTTTTAAAATTTTTTACTGAGTAGAAAAAAAGTCCTTTTCCATTTTTAAAATTTTCATTATTATTATTAATTGATTTACCATAGTGAAAGGTGTAAAATTTAGAGAGAATATGGAATTATTGTAACCAAAGGATCAAGATGGAAATTTTTGATGTATCAAATTTCAAATGTTTTAATTGAAACGTTTAATGTAGGTTGTAAAGCGGACGACACAACACAACCATCCATCTAGTTTAGTGAGACCTGAAATGCAACGGAAAGCTTTAAAACGACATTTTGATGGATCGTCTACAAGTGATAAAGTTCTAACGAAAAAAACTGCACAATCTCTTGAAGCTCTTCTTCACGAAATTATAAAGACTTCTAAATTTGATTTACATCGTTAGATTTCGAAGATGTTTCACGATTTCAAAAATTTTTATTCTCTTTTTGGTGAACTAACTAATAAGAGATAACTTCTAATTTTATCATAAGTAAAAGTAGTTAGGCAGTGAAATTTAAATTACAAATATAAGCAGGATAATTCTGAACTTCAAATTCTGGACTTTTCATTACAGAAATCGAAGAAATTCTAAAGAGTCTGAAAAGAGAATACAGTGATATGATTTCCCATTATGATATCCATTCATCAACAGTTAATCATCTGAAATCGACAAGTCCAATAACAACAACAACAGCAATATTAACAGCTGATATGATTGCAAAATCATTTTTGCAAACCAGCATAAGTTCAGCCAGCATTGAACAGCAAATTTCAGCAAATTCCGGAATGGAACAACTAAATGTTAGTTTTTTTTTTTTTGTTGAATTTTAAAGAAGCAAATGTAAAAATCTTCAAAAGTGTTAACTCAGATGATTGTATGGAGTTCGAACTTTTGGTATGTTCCAGAAACATGATGCCAATATTAGGAGATAACGGTACGTGTTAAATGGAGGCAGAAAAAAATCGTTGTCATAACTACAGAAAAGTTATTCAGTTTTGAATTGACTCAGAGAATGATTCGGAGAGAATTTTAGACTTCAGCTGAAGGAATTGATGGATTCCAACCTTTGCTTTATTTAACCAACGGTGATTTTATTTTTTGGAGTAATGAAATCAATGAAATTGTCGATGATGGAACACAGTTTTGCTCCATGGCATCAAATTCAAATTTATCGAAATCCTTCTCTCTTCTAATAAAAGGTACGGTCTTTTGTGCTCATTTTTCTATGTTTTTTTTTTTTGAAATTTTGTTTGGCCTTCATTAGTATTTCGCTTCATCCAGCACTGTATGTAAATATAGCAACCATTTTATACTTAAACATGGTAATTATCGACTCCTCCAATTGATTAGAATGTTTATAGGCGCCGAAAAGACGGGTAAGTCATGTCTCGCAGCTTTAATAGCAAGGAATTCCGGCATTCCTTCTATAAAAAGTTGTCTTCCGGAAAATATGTTAAAACTGAATGAGAAAGCAAAAAATGAGAAATTAATTGATCTTTTCGAGGAAGCTATCAAACTGCCACAGTGCATTTTATTTCTGGATAGTATCGAACTTTTGATTGGTAAATTTTTAGATGCTTTGTTTAATTGTAAAGTTTAATTCAATTCATTTCATCCTCTTCTCCCAGCTGGAGTTACGTCTGAGTTTTCTCTTAACTGCAACACGAAATAGACTCCATTCTATTCTCGATATTGAAGTTCCCACAAGTAATTTTTCACCCATTTCCTTTGCTTAATGTCTTCCTAAATAAATAGTTAAGGAAGTAATTGTTTGTGGATTTTCTGAATTTTGGTTTTTAGAATATTGCGATGTTGGAGATCGTTATTCCAATGTCATTTTGCAAACAGTCAAATTGATTTTGAAGAAAGGTGAAATGTTGAAGGTACAGGGAATTTGGTTGATTTTTGATGAGGCCAAACGTTTGTCCTCATTCTGAAGAGATGAGGCTTAAAATTGCAAGTCATTTTCTAAACTTTGTATTAAACGAAAAAAGTTAACTCAGTCGTAATATTTTAATTGTCAAAAAAATAAAAACTAAAATTTTCTAGAATAATCGCTTATTGGTGATAGCAACGGTTACTACTGAATGTGCAGAAAAGTTTGGCTTGCAGCGTTATTTCTCATCTGTTATTGAAGTACCACTTCTAATGAAGATTGACCGAATAATGCCAGTAATCGAATGTGCCAATGTGTTGAACAAAGTTGATTTTGAAATGCTTCAGGAATGTCTCATTCATGATGCCAACAGGTAACTTAATGTTATTTTTATAATTGTTTCTTGTGCCCACAAAAACTTATTTGATTCTGAATCTTTCTAAGTATCTGAGAAAAATCTCATAACCAAATCCATTTGAATTTTCACTGTGATGCTATTAATTTAGCGGGTATTCATTACATAAGAAAATGAAACATATTTGAGGATGAGGTTTGGTCGAGAGGTTTTTGAAAAAGAAATCAAAAGAACTTGGGATTCTAAAACTTCCTCAAAATTCCTTGATTGTAATCAATACAGCAAGCAATTTAGTAGTTATCCAGTTGGCATCAAAAGTCTATTGACCACTATCGAATTGGCGAAGCATTCTACTCCAACAAGCCGTTTTCATACATTTCTTCGTCATCTCTTACAGTGGAAACAGTAAAAAGTAGCAATTAAAACATTATTTCCCAAAAATTTGTATCAAAATAAACGGTTCTAATCAGGGTTTTTTGTTTTTCTTCACTTGTTGCTACATACTTTAATATGTTATTTGATTTATAATACTAAAAAGAAAATGTTTTGTGTATTAACCACTGTATCATCATAATTGTAAATTCTCTACTCATTCTGAATTTTTCTTAATTCCTCGGAATTCAATATTTCCAGCCATTCCATTATTACTGATTCTCTGTTCTAGTGGACTCTGAGTATTCTTTTGTGTTCACTGTTGGTATTTCATAAAAGAATGGTAGTAACATTCCGTTATGCTTATCTATCCACTTGATTCATTTATAATTCCGATTTTGAATCAGAATTATAGCTCAAGGTGAAATGATGGGAGTATTTGGTTGTTATCATATATTATTTTCGATAATTTGTCTCTAAGTAGTTCTCAAGATGTAACAATTGCAAGACAGATGATCGGGAGATCCCAGCAAAATCAAAAAAAAATACTGCTATCTTTGCCTTATCACTAGATGAAAAAGCATCAGTGAAAACATTTACTCAAAATATACAGCTTTAATTTCCATTTGCAAGGATCAATGTTTAACAAAATTTTCAGCATACAAAACTTCTCTTGAAACGAAGAATGATATCAAACTAATTTCACCTATGCATATTATTTCTAATAAAAATAGGAATTTGGTATCTTATCAAGAAAAGAAATCTCAAGTAGGAATCCAAATAGAAAATTTGTGAAAGAAAAAAGCATAAGACATCAAAGAAATACTCTTAAACATAAGTAGTAATAATTACAAAAAGTTGTATAGTATCAGATGTAACTCTTTCACAAGGCACATAAAGATAGATTCTTCATACTAACTATCTCTTGAAACTTTCAGTCTTTGTTCAATCTTTTTTTTTAAACAAATATATGTTATTTGTAAGAAGAAATAAGAGATACACTGAATATTTGATACATGAAAAGATTTCATTTTTTTAGGGAAATGAAAATTTCATTTTCCTTCTCTCATATCTTATTTTTTCTTTTTATATCTTTACAGTAGTAGTAGCACACAATAATTCAAAAGAAAATGAAAAAATTAGGAACTGAATTAAATAATGAAGCAATAATAGTTCAAAGCTATAGATATCATTTACTATAGTTGTATAAAATTTCGAAGAGCTAGAAATGAACAAATCTTAATTTGTTCATTCATTAACAATAAAATTTATGACATTTAAACGTACTTAATTTCTTGCGTAATTTACACAATTCTGCATATATCAGATAATGTTTTTTTTTTTTTTTTTATCATCTCAAAAATGAAATAAAAAAAAATGTTAAAGTTAAAAGGAAGTGTAAAAAAGTAAGGAAAAAAGAAAAAAAAATGTAATAACATTGAAAGATTATATTTGAATCAAACTCACATATATAATGTGATTTCTGTCTGTAAAAAAAAAAAAAATATTATCGTACGCAGAAAAGATAGCGAATAAAATTAACTATCAAACTGCCAATGATCAAAACACCCATTATCACCAACAATACAATGACCCATTCCTGAAAAAAGAAATATCTTTTTAATTCTTATCCGACTCATTTTCAAATTAATGTAATAATCATAAAATTTGTCATTGCACAAATATTTTTCAAATATTAATGCTCGACATACGATAAAAGATGATAATCACTTGTTGTACTGATTACTTATAACATCTATGTTTTTGATAACAACCAATAATATGCCATTTCATTTATACGAAGATATAAATTTAGATTAACATTATTTAATGTATATTCATATTCATTACTGTAAAATAAGTGAAAATTAAATTGATTAAAATGATATATCACACTGATTTCGATTATAATAAAATGGAGAAGTAATTAACAAATTATATTATGCTTTATTTAAAAAATATATGAGTGTAACTATAAAGAATGTGAAGATTTTTTTCAC